AAAGCGGTGGCGGAAGCGTCCTGTTCAAACAACAATCAGCAGCAGCAGCAAGCAGCACAACAAGCAAGCCGCGGAATTTTTCAACGTTTTTTTTTCCTCTCTAGCTGATGACGATGGATAGCACCCCCCCCCCTCTCTAGCTGGTGACGATGGATAGCACCCCCCCCCCACGGCTGACGATGGATACCACCCCCCTCGCTAGCTGATGATGGACACCACCCCCCCCTCTAGCGAATGATGATGGATACCACCCCCCTCTCGACCCCCGCTCTTCTGTAACAGACGCACGAGCCTACTGCAGGTACTTTTGTGCAACCACCACAAAAAACTATTCCACCTCCCGATCTAGTAATAGTTTTTTTTTTGTTAAAAAGTGTGGCCCGTTAGGGGTACGCTTTTTGTTTTGTTGTTTTGCAAAAAAAAAGCTGTTTAGAGGGATCGTGTGTGGAGTATGTGCGCACGAGAAAAAGAATAATTTTCATGCACAGGGGCGTGAAAATTTAGCCATGGCTGTCTGTCTGTCTGTCTGGTTGCGCGCCCTAAATACCCAGCAGACTCGAGCCCATTTCACCATCTCGGCACCAAATTGCAAACTAAAACTTGCGCACAACAAGTAACATTTTGCCCGAGCTGTCCCAACCGCTACCTTTGCAATCCGTGGTCGGTGTCTCGAGATAGCACACCGTTTGTGCAAATATATATGTCACATGGACGCATCCCCGGGAGGCGTCGTCATTTTTGTTTTTCTCTGGGCAACAAACTACACGCACGCAAGAAACCACGACGCACTGCCGTGCTGCACACATTGCTGCTGCTACTGGCAAGACACGCACTACACAGAGACAGGGAACATGGACAAGGGGGGCGGGACACACACACATACTGCTGTTGGCGACGGCGGAGGAAGCGGGGAACGTTTGGTTGGTCTGGGGTTCATCGCTGATGATGTTGTTGTTGTTGTTTCCGTTGTTTGTTGTTGTTCAACGCTGCCGGCCTTTTCACCTTTTTGTCTCTGGAGAGAGCGTAGAGGGAGTCCCACCAACCAGCGTGTGTTGCACACACCACACAGCGAGAGCGGGAC